TCCTGACCTCGTGATCCGCCCGTCTCGGCCTCCCAAAGTGCTGGGATTACACGCTTGAGCCGCCGCGCCCAGCCGCCTTCTTTTTTTGAGACAGAGTCTCACTCTGCCACCCAGGCTGGAGTGCAGTAGTGCTATCTCGGTTCACTGCAACCTCTGCCTCCCGGGTTCAAGTGAATCTTGTGCCTCAGCCTCCCGAGTAGCTGGGACTAGAGACACACGCCATGCTGGGCTGATTTTTGCATTTTTTGTCGAGACTGGGTTTCACCATGACACCCAGGCTGGTCTCCAACTCCTGGCCTCAAATCGCCTGCCCACCTCGACCTCCCAAATTCCTGGGATTACAGGCATGAGCCACCAAGCCCAGCCTGGAGCGAATGTTCAGTGGGTATAGAGTTTCAGTTTTACAAGATGAAAACAGTTATGGAGATGGTTCCACAACATTATGAATGTATTAAATTCCACTGAACTGTACACTTAGTAATGGCTAAGATGGTAAATTTCCTTTTTTTCTTTTTTTTTTTTTATTATACTTTAAGTTCTAGGGTACATGTGCACAACATGCAGATTTGTTACATAGGTATACATGTGCCATATTGGTGTGCTGCATCCATCAACTTGACATTTACATTAGGTATTTCTCCTAATGCTATCCCTCCCCCAGTCTCCCACTCCCCATACTGAGTAAACCAGTATACTCAGTATGGTAAGGTATTAAGTCCTAGAAAAGATTAAGAGTAGATTTTTAGAGCTGACTTTGAACTAAGCAGAACCTGGGCAGGAAGGGAAGGGATAGGAAAGAAATGAGTGGCAGAGGGTACCGCCTCTCCCTGTCCCCCTAGGAGAATTGTGCATACTTAGTGGGTGACTATTTTGCTCCACTGAGTACAATACCACCTCTCCTATATATAGATGGCCAACAGGCCAGGCACGGTGGCTCACGCCTGTAATCCCAGCACCCTGGGAGGCTGAGGCGGGTGAATCACTTGAAGTCAGGAGTTTGAGACCAGCCTGGCCAACATGGTGAAACCCCGTCTCTACCAAAAACACAAAAATTAGCCAGGTGTGGTGGGGTGCATCTGTAACCCCAGCTACTCGGGAGGCTGAGACAGGAGAATCGCTTGAACCTGGGTGGTGGAGGCTACAGTGGAGTGCAAAAGTACACCTTTGCACTCCAGCCTGGGTGACAGGGCAAGACTCTGTCTTAAAAAAAAAAAAAAAAAATGGCCAAGAAACATGAAAAAATGCTCAACATGACTAATTATATGGGAAATGCAAATCAAAACCACAATGCAATACCACCTTACTCCTGCAAGAATGGCCATAATCAAAAAACTAATAGATGTTGGCTGGCTGCGGTGGCTCATGCCTGTAATCCCAGCGGAGGCCGAGGCAGGCGGATCACGAGGTCAGGAGACGAGACCATCCTGGCTAACACGGTGAAACCCCATCTCTACTAAAAATACACACAAAAAAATTAGCCTGGCGTGGGGGCGGGTGCCTGTAGTCCCAGCTACTCGGGAGGCTGAGGGAGGAGAATGGCATGAACCCAGGAGGCAGAGCTTGCAGTGAGCCAAGATCAAGCCACT